ATATGTTATTGCTTCTTCTTGAACAGTTTTAATTTTTAGATCAGAATGGAGGGTATAATTTGATACGTGTGGAGGGGAGTTAGTTAATTTTCTTAAAGAAATATATTGAAATGCCTGAATACGATTAATATTAGATTTTTTAGCATTTCCCCAAAGTTGGAGAACATAGGTCCAAATAGGTTTAATAAGGGATTTATACATTAGAAGTTTCATATTTAAGTTAGTATGTTTGTTATTAATTAGTAAAGTTCTAAGCATACGGATTCTAAGATTTAATTGGAGTCTTTTTGCACGAGTATGATAGGCCCAGGTAAGTCAGCGGGCTAGGGTTAAACCAAGATATTTTACAGACAAAGAAGAAGGAATTGACGTTAAAATAAAAAAAAAAAGAGTGTGGACTCTCACAATTTGTTTCTACACGATTATACTAAAAAAAAAAAACGATAGTACAATGGAGACGTAGTATAGTTGGGACAATTATAGATTATATCTGATAGTGATTAAAATCACAATTATAAGAAACGCTTTATTGCAAATTTATACATACTATATAATTTTAAAAAATAGGAGAATTATTTCAATAACAAAATGAACGCATATTTTTTGTATGATGTGCGGGTTAATTACTGTTCGTTTCTGGAGTATCTATATCACGCAGGAGAAAGAAGTAGGGACTGGACTGTATAAATAAATAAAATAAATTTAGGAATATATAAAAATTACCTGTATTAAAAGTTTAAACCTAATACTATATAAATAAATGATGGAAGGGGGTACTATTAATGCTAATGCAACAATGCGTAAAATAAAACAAATAAGAAGAGTAAAAATTAGATAAAACAATATAATTACAAATTACTTATACGATACTAAGAGTGATGACTGGTTGGCATATCAAGAGGAGGCGGGTAATGTCGTTGACATAACAGCTGAACTGGCAAAATGTACGGGCGCAAATAATAGTACAAGATATACGAATTTAATTATCGATGAGCGTATCGCAAAGGCGATAAATCAACGTGTTTAAAACAACTACGGACTTGCAAGTATCGTAGAACCATCTAATAAACAAATTATGGATGGCGGCGAAAAAAGTAAAATTCACCAAAGGAAACCGAAAATAACTCAGCGAGATAAAAGAATCACGTACACTAACATCCAACGTAATAATGAATCGCTCACACAACCGGTGGTGGTAGTTCGAGTGGCGTTATCAATCATAACAAAAAATTTAAAAAAACGCCCTCTCATGATGCGTATCCAACAAATTTTGAATACAAAAGAAATGAATAAATATGATTAAATATTTACAATAGCTTTGAATTAATATAACCATTTTTTGATGACATATATTTATATGCATAAATTGTGATAGCTAAAAATAGATAAAAATTTATGAAAAGCCGAATTCTATTGAATAATAAATTTTAAAAATTTATTTCAGAAATAATTTAATATACCAAGGACAAGCCTAAATTATTTTGACTCAAAAGAGATAAGATCATTTTTGGACCCCAGCAGATCATTATATCTATATTATATACCATTTAGTAAAATACGCATCACATCATCGAATGATTTATGTAAAAAGAACAATTAAATAATTAATGTGTCATATTAATTTTTCAAAATCACCAAATTTATCAATTTTAACCAAAAAATTCAGAAACTTATTGACTCTTACTTGTCTTTTATTTATATATCTTGATATTATTAATATAGAATCATTATATTTATTTAATATAATGTTTAGAAAATATGGTCTGCTATCATAATACATCGTGTTAATAATTTAGAATCACTGAAAAATTACACATAAAAAATTCTAAATTCTTTAGTAAAAATTCGTAAGTATTAGCTTGAATAAGAATATCTATAAAATAAAACGTAAATAAATTTATAATTACATCTTTAATAAGATCACTGTATTTAAATGAATTAATTAACCTTAGGTATTCCGAATACTCTATAATACCATTGTTGTTTAAGACAATTCTAAAAAAATGATTGAACACGATATCTATTTCATATTTTTCCAGTCTTATTATCTAAAAATACAAAATAATTTTATACTGAGTCAGGTAAAAAGATAATTAACTAATTAATATATGATTTTACTTCTTTTTGATCACCAGGTAGAGTTAAACTATCACCCGCCTTATTAAATGTATACATAAAATGTAGAATCTCGAAAACTCTTTTATTTTCATGAACTATAACATATATAACACTTTTAATATAGTGTGATTATATATACATATATGTATAATATAATATATAGTTAAATTAACTTATTACGTTAAATTTTTTTACTCATAATTTAAAAAAATATCCATAGGGAATTTTAAGGGATTATATTTGAAAAATCAAAAGGAATTACATATAATATGTTTTGTGTAAAATTTATAGTAATTATTTTTATAAATAATTAGTGTAAAAAAAATGCCCTTATAATAAATTTTGAGCTCTTTTAATTTGAAAAACATTTCAATATTTTAGTATTATTTCAGTATACAAGAAAAATTATTTATAAATTGTTATTTATTGAGCTTGCATACGTGGAACACTATACCCAATATTGACGAGGATTGTAACAAATTCATTTTCGGCACTGTTGACAAACCAATTATGGTGATAACACTACCGACGGGATCGTACGAATTTGAAGATTTACAGAAACGAATCACGGACAAGTACAACGGAGAAGAGTATAAGTACAGTGTGCAACAACAACAAATAGATTTTGATGATCCATTGTTGCCAACGGTTGGTTTACTCAAGGAAAACAGCAGAGAAATCGGTGACAAAAGGTTGGGTGATCGAAACGTTATCTCTTTTACAGCCGACCGCAACACTATGCGAAGCATAATCAAATGCGATCACCCCATAGATTTTACACACCCGCAATCAATCGGTCGTATACTAGGGTTCCGACCTCGTGTATTGACACCGAAAATGGAACACACGTCGGATTTCCCGTTATCTATAACAAAGGTTACATGCATACGAGTCGACTGCAATATAATTGTTGGTTCGTACCACGGAGGACGTCAATCGCATACATTGCACGAATTCTTTCCAAACGTACCACCGGGCTACCGGATTATCGAGTGTCCCAGACAAGTAGTTTACTATCCGTTAAACACAAACGTATTGAACACGATTCGAATCGCATTGCTCGATCAGGACGGTCAACGTGTCAACCTAAGAGGTGAAAAATTAACAGTGCGTCTACACATCAAACAGGATGGATGAAAGTACGATGACGTTATGGGACCGTATAAAACAGTTTGATTCCTCACAAATTGGATTATTTTTGTGCATACTAGTCACAGTCGTGCAACTATTACTACTCCTTCAAACATCCGTCAACAGCTGTCAGCTGATAAACAGTGATAACAGCAACAACAACAACAGTTCAACCACAATTTATCGTTTGGAAGCACTGGCTCGAGAACTTTATTCAGTCGACGACCGTGTCTTTATACTGGAAAAACGTGTTGACACTCTTTAAATGCCTCTGAGTTTCAACAGGAGTGTAGTGCACCATCATTTGAGTGATGGCATATACTCTACGACGGAGCAACCGGATAATCGTGCGACGCTATCGCAGCAGCAACTAACAAAGAAAAATATTGAATTTTTAAAATCGTTGGGTTGTCGAGTCAATCATGGCCGAGTACTTACACGTGTTGGAAAAATGTCAACAAGATGACAGTGTAAAACGCGAGTACTATCTAGAACATCAGAGTTACAACAACTCGTACGAACACAACAATGAAATCCGTATCGAGGTGCGCAACAATAAGAAATTCACCGTGCCGTGTGAAAGTTATTTGCAAATCGAAGGAAAACTGGAAAAACCACCAGCTGGAACAGCCGGTGAAATGGTTATGGGGCAAAATTTTCTCATGCACCTATTCGATGAAATCAGATTTGAGGTAAATGGTAAAGAAGTAGACAAGATAAAATACGTTGGGATGGCTACAACCATCAAGGGATATTGTTCATTCACACCCAACGACATTCGACGATTACAACCTGCCGGATGGAAATACGCGCAAATTTTGCACAACAACAACGATTTCGTCGATGGGACTGAATTTGTAGCGCAATGTCCATTATCTATGTGCATGGGATTTTTCGAACGGTATCGGCGCACACTGATAAACTGTACTCAGACTCTCGTGTTGAATAGATCGAGTACCGACAGCACTGTCGTATCATTGGTTCCACAGACAACAACAACAACAGACGATAAAGCGCAAGTTGCAACATTTATAAAACAAATCAACGTGAAAATATCGAAAATCAAATGGGTAGTAAAGTACTTTGAACCCAGCGTGAAAACTGAACTGGGTCTGATGCGTATTCTGGACAGCAAGAAATGGCTCCCGTTAGAATTTCAACACTGGGACGTTGCCGTTTACCCGTTGGTACCGCAGACAACTCATCACACGTGGTCGGTGCGCACCTATTCGAATGTGGAAAAACCTAGATATTTACTTATTGCCATGGGTAATGAGGACGAACACGTTCTCGGAGATTTCAATCACTGTTCATTGAGAAACGTCAAAGCGTATCTGAACGCTGACGAATACCCGTACGAGAACCAAAACGCCGATTTCGACAACAACAAGTACACAACGTTTTATAACTCGTACGCACAATTCCAGACAATGTATTACGGTCGTAAAGACCCCTATCCTTTATTGGACTATATAAATTACAAAAAACGTGGACCTATAGTCGTGATTGATTGTTCTAAACAAAACGACACCGTCAAGTCTTCAACGGTTGATCTACGCTTGGATTTCGAATGCTCCAAACAGTTTCCCGATAAAACATCATTGTATTGTGTAATTATTCACGACTGTCAAATGGAATACAACGCATTCACGGGAGAAGTACGAAAACTTTAATGTAAATACAAATTTATTTTTTATTATTGTACAATATACAATATAGAAACAAAAAAAAAAATTATATATACACTATAATGTATATATAATTTTTTTTAATAAAAAACTAGTTGTTTTGTAAACTTGTTATTTTATTTCAATCATCTTCGAATTTGACTGGAAAAGTCACGATCTTTCTTGTCAATTTTTGGTAAAGTATCAATTCCTAGAAATTATCTGTTTGTAGCCAATTCCACCAGATTGGAGAAGTAATAAACATGCTAATTTTTGAGTTTAAGTTTTAAGNAATAAACACGCTGAAATTTATTTTTAAGTTTAAGTTTTAAAATGAAAAAATCAAATATTTTTAAACATACTTTCATGTGTGGATAATCACTGAAGATAATTTTCAATGTTTTAATACAATCTATACATTGATGAATCGATCAAGTCGTTGATTTTATTGAATTTACACCTTGGTGTGGCCATTGTGATTAAAGTCTCAAGGTCCAATAGGCTTTACTGTCGCTGCGGTTCGCATTCGTCGTCTTTTCAATTGTTTCGATTGAATCCAAAAGTTCGTAATATATTCGCTTCACAACTGAGCATGCACATTCATGATTGTCCGAATTTTTTCCCACTTCCGAAAATTCACAACCTTTGTAATGTAAAAAGTCTCCACCTACACCATTCNTGTAATGTAAAAAGTCTCCACCTACACCGTTAACTTTATCGCCTAGACGTTCCGCAAAATATTGTAAATCTCTATAATTTTTCAATAGTTTACTAACTAGTTTGAAAACTCTATCCGTCGGATCGTTTTCAACAAGAAAATTCAATTTATCCGATATATCATTGAAATAATCCATCTTACGCACACAATAGATTAACAAATACTGAGAACCTATTAGAAGTCGACATACAATGTTATGTTGCTGCCCCCCACCCCTTCCTCCTTTCCAAATATCTTTTAGATAATTAATTCGTGATAAAGGATGAGGTGTATACGACTAAGATATTTAAATATTACTAGATAAATGATTGTAATGAACACTGGCCACCTACGTCATTCATACCCATGCATATAGTAGTATTAAGCAAAGACAAAAAATTCAGTTTTCCATCGTATATTTGATACGTCTGCATGTCTAATTTATATACGTTTTAATTATTATAGTAAAATATAGTTATTTAAAATAGCGTGAAAATTAAAGTGAAATGTTTACACATATATGTCATTAGGATTTAAAACAGATGCCTTTGTAAAAATTATGACCGTCTGCCGTCTCTAATGCGTTGACGGATGAAGAATGCAATCCTTCCAGTCGAAGCTATTATTTTATTAAAAATAATTTATTACAGTTGTTAAATACGGTAATAATTTATAACAATGGGAGGGATACCAGTAATAATTCAAACAAAATATATATGTAAGACATTAATCGATAAGTATAATACAGATTATAATAATATTATAAACATTATAATATATATGTTCCAGTGATTACGTCGTCGTCGTCGGCGGCGGCGGCGGTAGTGTTTATTTAAGAATGTGTTTTGCTATAAGAAAACTTGAAAAGTCGCCATTAGTATATATTGTCTACAAAAAAAAAATATTGATTTATTATTCACTATACGAATAACGGTCAAGCTTATTAACTCGTATAATAACAATTAATCTAATTGACGGCGACATCGCCGACGCCGTCGCCGCCGCGTTGGGCCATCTGGTGTATTAATCTCAAGTGCTATAGTGTAATCATCAATACAGCCATCTGGCACACAATGTTTCGAACTAATTTTTTTTTTTTTAGGTAAAATTAACATTTTACGTATGGACTTTATCTAAATATATGCATGTGGCATATCAAAATAACGGATTCGACGTTTAAAAATTGTACTTTTCACCGTAACCGTATAGCTTACCTGGAAAATGCATTTTTTTTTTTTCCCCAAAAAACCGATATTATGTATATATGGGCGAGCATAATTTAGGCGCGTGACAAGTTGTGTTAGTTTACGTCGTGTTTCATTCCCCCCCCTCCCACCTATAGGTTTGTTTACCTTTAGTTTCATTACCCCTCTCTCATAAGACTTGTTGGAGGAAGAGAGGTTCCTCACCTGATTTAGGTTAGTTTACGTTGGATTTACTTCCCCACCCTAAGACTTGTCAGAGGAGGTTCTTCTTAGGTTAGTTTACGTTGGATTACCTCCCCCTCCACCCCTCTTCCCATAACCACGGTGGTAGGGTGGGTGGTTGAAGCGGAGAGGGCCTAGAATCCCCAATATTACCCTACTAATATTTTTTTTAATGTGTTAATATTATACATTGTAGTATTATATTAGATATTATTATTATCAAACGAAAAATTATACCTATATTCCATCAGTAAAATTTATTTTAACTGATATTTTTAGTTGCCTGAAAATCCTGAAGAATGGTACATGGTAGCAAATGATTATGACACCAAATGGCAGTTTCCTAATTGTGTGGGTGCAATTGACGGTAAACAAGTCATTATTCAATCACCAATACACAGTGGTCCTGAATTTATTAATTATAAAGGTACATTCAGCATAGTATTGATGGCTTTAGTTGATGCCAATTATTGTTTTTTGTACACAAACGTTGGATGCTAAGGAAGAATTAGTGATGGAGTAGTTTTCAAAAATATTTCTCTTTCAAAAAATAGAGAATAATCAATTGATGTTTCCTCCGGACCAACCATTATCACCAAGGACTTAACCAATTCCTTTTGTATTTGTAGCGGACGATGCTTTCGCCCTTAATCTGCGTATTATGAACCCTATCTAGGGACATACGGTAAAGGGAGCTTAGAAAGAATTTTTAATTATCGTCTCTCGCGAGCTAGACGTGTTGTTGAAAACGTATTTGGTATTATTGCTTTAGTATTTCGGATTTTAAGAAAACCATTATTATTGGAACCAGAAAAGGCTGCCAATATTACAATGACTTGTACTTTGCTGCACAATTTTTTAAGAAAAAGTAGAACATCAAAGCAAATTTATACTCCTCAAGGTACATTTGACAACGACAATAGACAAGGATTTATTCCAGGAACATGGTGTCAAGACCAAGGAGACTTGAGTTCTTTATTACCGCTTCGGAGAGTACCTAGGAAACCTGGGGAGCTAGCTAAGGTCATTAGGAAAGAATTTTCTGATTATTTTATTACTTCTGGCAAAGTATCGTGGCAGGAAAACTAATAATTTTAATCAATTTAATGAATTAAATTTTTATCTTATATTTATTATTGTTTTACTTATTAGTATTAGAAATGTAAATTTAAATAACACATTTAACTTGTTTTATAAGGCTTAGATTAAAAAAACCCAGCACAGGAGGGTTGCGGCACAGTGGTGACGTACATAGTTGGATCAAGTATAATGATATCTGACATTAATTAAACTCACTATCATAAGGATTTTTTGTAAAAAAGTTGTCATTTTATATCCCCCCCTGTGGGTAGGTAAAGGGCTAAATTTATAAAAAAAATATACCAAATAATAGGTAAAGACATCAAGCATTTATAAAAAAAATATTATATTTATTTGTTCATTTTTGAAAAAATTATGGCAGTTTTAAGAAAAAAAACGGTAGCACAGTGGGGTCGAGGCACAGTATAGACGTGGCATAGATGAGATAAGTATAGATGATATCTGACAGTGATTAAAATCACTATCATAAGAAACGCTTCGATGCAAATCTGTAGATAGTGTTTCCTTTAGAGAAATTGGTGAAATATTTTAAAAGCAACATGAACTCTTATTTCTTTAATTATATCCTGATTAGTAGTTCTTTGATTTTAAAATATAATATATGAATAAATACTAATTATAGTTTTTAAATTTAGTATGAAATTGTGAGGCCAGCTATGATGTATGGTTAATAGTGTTGGGCGGTTGATAAGAAAGTAGAGCAGAGAATAAGTGTAGCAGAGATGAGAATGCTTAGTTGGATGAGTGGAGTGACTAGAGAAGATAGGATAAGGAACGAGCATATAAGAGGAAGTATAGGTGTTGCGTCAATCGTGGATAAGATGACAGAAAATAGACTTAGATTGTTTAGTCATGGTATGAGGAAAGAAGAATCGAAAGCTGTAAGAACAGTTATAGAAATGAATGTTGAAGGAAGAAGAGATAGAGGAAGACCAAAAAAGAGATGGAGGGATGCTATTGAATGCGATTTGAGGACAGCTGATGTGAGCGTAGAAGATGTGGGAGATCGTGTCAAGTGGAAGCTTAGGATAAGGGTGGCCGACCCCAAGTAGTTGGGATTAAGGCAAAGAAAAAGAAAAATATTACCAGAAATTCCGGTGGCAATTGACATAATATGATTGTTGTTTCGGAATGTACAATTTAGCGTTTAGTTGGGTTTAAATAATATAGCGTCAAATCAATTACCTACTCTATCGGTTGTATCTCAATATACACTACACTTTAATGATACAATAAATAAATAAACTCACACATACACACATATGCATTTATAACATTGTGTCTAATGTAAGTATAACATGATAAAAAGTAACCGTAAAATGAAAAAAATGGAATATAAATTTTATTACTCATATTAAATGTAATGTAACTCGAAAAATATTTGTTTAAATGAAAAAATATAAGATTATATTTTTATTTATAATTGTCTTTTAAACAACTTTTGTGCGAAACTTTTTTTTGTAAGTTAAATATTTTTTTTTGAGAAAATTAAGAAAGCTCATATTTTTGAACTTTTGCGAGGATTTAAAAAAAAAGCTCAATTCCAATCTTGAGGACTATTAGTATGTCATTATACATATTTTAATTCAACTTTTAAAAAAACAAAATTTTTTCCGCAATTTTTCCTTTGTTGACAGGCCTAGATGTCAATTTTAAACTTGTAATTGAGCTAAAAGTTATGGTAATATATTCAATTTATTTTACTATAAACTTTCATAAATCTTTATCAAAAATTTTTCATCAACTTTAAAGAACCAAAAAAATAGGTTAAAATTGAAAATTTGGACTGATTATTTTTAACATATTAAAAATCAAATCAGTAATAATTTGAAAACAAATTTTTTTTTCTTTTAATTATTATTTTATATATATAATTAGTAATAATATAAAAAATTAGAAGTGATAGAAATAGTCTACTTGCAGATTTGAAAACAACGCGAAAATTTGATTTAGAAAAGTATATTTTTGCTTCTGATGAAAGTTCCTTGTAGTCCAGTGCATTTTTTTATAGTAACAAACAGTTTTTATTGAAAATTATTGTATCAAGCCCTTTAAATTTTTATACACGTAAAAGTAAAGCAAAATATAACTTCTTTATTATTTTTATAATTTCTCCGTTTAAATTACAATATTAAATATCAATTTCATACTAAATTTAATAATTATAATTAGTATATATTCATATATTATATTTTAAAATCAAAGAACTACTAATCATGATATAATTAAAGAAATAAGAGTTGATGTTGCTTTTGGAATAATCCACCAATTGCCTAATTAAAACAAAAAAAAAAAAAGTTTGTTGGGAATTTTTTCTGCTATTCTGCAAAATTACTCCTTCGTTGACTAGAATGAATCATTAAATAGAAAATTTTATGAGAATTAAAACAATGTTATTTTTAAGATTAATATGCAGTCAGAAAGTTTTATAATTATTATTTATTGTAAATTTATCAGAAAAACTCATTATTTTTTGCATTTTTATCGTAATAGAACACTTAAATAGAAATCATAGTAATCATTTCTAAGTAATTTTTGATATTTAAAAAGATTCTACTATTGAAATATCCAGAACTGAATTAATTTTAATGATTTACTTTAACTAAAAAAAAAAAAGTTAATATTTTGAATCCCTCTTGTGGGCAGGTAAAGGGTTAGATTTATAAAAAAAACCAAATGATAGATAAAGACATGCATCTAAATAAAAAAAAATATACTGATTTGGTCATTTTTGATAAAGTTATAACAATTAACAAAGTTATAAGTTTTATACACTGGACTACAAGGAACTTCCATCAGAAACAAAAATATACTATTCTAAATCAACTTTTCGCGATGTTTTAAAATGTGCAATTAGACTTTTTCTATAACTTCTAAGTTTTAATATTATTAAAAAATAGTTTTTACATATAAAAAAAAATAATTAAGAACAAAAAAAATTGTTTTAAATTAATACTGATTTGATATAATATTTAATATTAATTTGATTATTAATAAGTTAAAAATAAGGAAAATGACATATTTAACCTATTTTGTTAATCGTTTAAAGTTGATTGTTGTAAATGTTTATAATAAAAAAAAAAAATTTATTTTACCATAACTTTTAGCTCAATTGGTAAGTTTGACATTGACATAATTAAATAGAAAATTTTATGACAATTAAAAAAATTGTATCGTTAAGATCAATATGCAGTCAGAAAGTTTTATAATTACTATTTATTGTAAATTTATCAGAAAAGCTCAATATTTTTTTGCATTTTTATGGTAATAGATAACTTAAATAGAAGTAATAGTAATAATTTCCTAGGAACTTTTGTTGTTTGTTGAAAAGATTCTATAATTGAAATATTGAGAACTTAATTAATTTTAATGATTTACTTTAACTAAATGTACCAATCAAAACAAAGTTGTTAAAAAGATTTACTCAATTGAGTGTATTATAAAATTTGATTATATTTGTAAAAATCAATTGTTAATTCAGGAGAAAAAACAATCATTTTTTTTAGAAATGATTTATATAGCAACATGTTACAAAAAAAAATTGTAATATTATAGTCTAGTAGTAGCACACACAAATAGAGTAAAAAAATTATTAAATTACAAAGTAAAATGATTTAATTTTGTAGTTGAAACCTATCATATCAAACTTCATTCGTTAATAAATATTTTGAAAACATTAGAAATTAATGATTTTAATTGTCTTTATGGAGACGATGTAATAACTAACTGTTTAATTGATAAATTAGAATTTTTTTTTCAATTTTTGAGAGTAATATCTTCAACTAGATACGAATTGTAGTAATTTGACGTATTGTTGAAAAAAGTAGGTCAAGTTAGAGCAGAGAAAATAAATGATAGTCACAAAAAAATATCTTCTCGGCTTTGCATCGAAGCGAAAACTTAAAATATAGTAAAATAATTTTAATACGAATAAGAAATTTCTTCTTGCAAGGGGCGACTAAAGTGATGGGATCCTTGATCTTTATTGAAGTTATTGAATCTAAATGTGATAAAAATCAAACGAGTTAAAATTTATACTAACTTAAAAAGAATTAAGAAAAAATGCAAAAAATTCATTGCCATATGCGGGTTGGAACCTCGTACCCCAAGCGTGTAAAACATAAATTTTACCAACTCGGCAACCGTACGTTGCTTCCGGCGGTTGAAAAATTGGCTATTTAAGCTAGTTCAAATTTCAAAGTTATTTTTCTCGACTTAAAAGAAACAAACATATTTAAATAAGTTTAACTATCTATACTATATCAATTTTAATTTATATAATATTTATGAAAATCTGTACTCCCCTTGTCAGGTATTTTAAAATAAAATAAAATACAAAACCCAGAATTTTAACACAAAAATAGCATATTTTTGCATACGGTAGTCATTTTTACCATGAAGACAAATCCAGAGGTCAAATTTTTTTTTTTCACATTAAAGTATATTACATAAGCTTTAATTTAAGATATATTTAAAAGTGTCAGTATTTTCAGAATACTTTCAAAAATTAAATTGAAAATATCGTAGTAACAATACGCATGTTTAAAGTTTTGACCCCCCCTTGTTAAAGGGGTATGATCCGATTTACAAAAAAAGCGTGTAGATGAAAGGAGTAATATCAATATTTATTATAAAAAAATAATAATATAGATCCATACATTTTTCCAAAAGTTATATAAAATATAAATTAAATAATATAACATATAAAATCGAGATTTTTTTCACGGAAATCGTACGTTTTTCTTTAACTTTGATGTCCGTTTTCACCACGAAGACAAGTCCAGAGGTCAAATTTTTTTTTTTCAAATTAAAGTATATTACATAAGCTTTAATTTAAGATATATATAAAAGTGTCAGTCTTTCCGGAACATTTTCAAAAGTTAAGTTGAAAAAGTTCTACTTTCTATACGCATTTTAAAAGGTTTGCACCCCCCCTGTATAAAGGGAAATGGTCCGATTTTAAAAAAAAGTATGTCGAATGAAAGAAGTATATATAAAGTATTTATCATTAAAGAATAAAGTTGATTCATGCATTTTTTAAAAAGTTATAGCAACATAATGTTAAAAAATGTAAAATATAATATCAAGAATTTTTTCACAAAAATAGCATATTTTTGCATACGGTAGTCATTTTCACCATGAAGACAAGTCCAGAGGTCAAATTTTTTTTTTTCAAATTAAAGTATATTACATTAGCTTTAATTTAAGGTATATATAAAATTGTCAGTCTTTCCGGAACATTTTCAAAAGTTAAGTTGAAAAAGTTAATTTTTTGTAAAAAAGTTACCATTTTGAAACCCCATCCTTTGGGCTGTTAAAGGGTCAAATGTTCACAAAAATATATAAAATGATAGGTAATTATCTAAGGTATCTATAAAAAAAAAAATTATATTGATTCGGTCATTTTTAAAAAAGTTATGGCAATTTTAAGTAAAAAAAATTGAAAAAATATCGAAAATTAGCGATTTTTAAATTTGTAATTTTTTTGAACGTTACCACCATTTACGGGGAACGAGGGAAATTAATTTATCTCAGTGTCAAGGGCGGGGAGACAACCGATGACAACCGATTGTCATATTAATAGCTGGACGGCTGATATCGAGAGAGACACGGGTCAGCGCCAATCTAGAGCAAAAGGCGGTGCCGTGTCAGACATTTACATTGTTGTGTTAGTTTAATTTTAGTTAAATAAAATGTGGATCTCAAAATATTGTTTTTAGCTTATAAATAATGATGGTTAAATTATCAAATCATAAAAAATTGTTTCTTTTATTCACAGTATATTATTAAATTATTAATTGAAATAAATGCAGAGCATAAATATTGTGTTAATCAACTTACAAAATACAAAACAATTTTAGCAATTGTATTTTAAAAAATTAATGTAATTAAATTAAATTAAAGGTAATTTTAAACAACAACTTTTAGACTAGTGCTTTGTAAGATATTCTAATTTTTGTATCTAAGTGGCAGAAGAAGTGTGACCGAAGAATGACTAATGATAAAAATAGCAGCATCTGCGCTTCACCAAAGTATTATATTTTAAAATTCTAATAACTTCCAAAGTATTGTTCCAAAAGTTATTATCGACAGTCATTTTCTTAATTATAAACTAGTTTAATATGTATGTTGCCGTTTAAACAAATAAAGTTGACACCCCTGTATAATATATAAGAAATGGTCCGAAAAATTATTTTATAACAAGTACATAGAAATACATTTGTAACTAACAAAATTAAAAAAAAAAATATTTTTAAAAAAGTTATTATTTTAAAGGCACTTGTTTGACTAGCGGTAAAAAAATCCCTCTGTATAATAATATAATAAAATTGAAAATTTATTTAATTAACTAATTAAAACAAATAATTATTTTAATTAACTAAAACAATTTATATAAACAAATTAAGTATTGATTTTGATCGAATATTCGTCAAAATAAAAAACATAGCCGAGTAGACCGTCCTCACTTATCGCGTATTTGGACAAATATTTATAATCTCTTTGATTCGCGTCACAAATACCGACAACCGTCGGAAAGATGACGAATAACGAATGTTGATGAACGAACGCCGAACATTCGTACAAGTACACCGCTCCTACTGCTTGACAATAAAGACAAATAGCGAATGTTCGTCAAATACACGAGTAGTGGAAATTTGGCTTTAGACGCCTAAGTGGCTCATTTTTAGCGTAATTCCTTTGGTAGTGAGAGACAACGAATGGAGTATTATTTCTTGTTGCTCGCTGAGGCACTTTGAAACATATTAGAGACAATATGACAGGTGAATCAATGTTGCCACTCAATAAACCATTTAATAATTTAATTTCAGCATTACGTCTACGCTCGGTTAGTAAGGATAGGTCGAGCAAATTAGAGACAAGGGCATAATCATGATTAAGACAGTCTATACTAAGAAAGTAGCTAACAAAGCGTAAGAACACAAAGCGTTATCGTAATATCTATATTAACTTTTTTATAAGTGTGTCTTTTAAATATTTATAACAATATGCAAAAAAGTAGACGCCAATATGAACTTGACATAAAATGAAATTTAACCCACATACCGTTCAAATAACAACGTTAGCAGATTATTTTAAACATGTACAAACAAAACAAATGAAAGAGTATACTATGATTACTAGAATAATTATAAAAAGGTTCGGAGCAACTGAATCAAAAATAGCACAGAGTCTACAATAAATTGAAAAAACGAGATATAAATTACTTTAAAGCAATAAAAAAAATAATGAAATGCAATAAATGATTTGACTTAGAAATTACAACTTAATTATTTAATCTATTAACTAAAATGTATTATTTATTAGTAACATAAAGTCAAGCTCTGGAATTTCATCATTTATGATACATTCAATAAAATGTTCGATTCTTGTCTCATCTTCCACTTTAAAAAATCTTTGTCCATAAAATTGTGCCTGGAGCCTTACTAAATCTATGAGTACATTGCCTATATCGTATGTACCTAAAAAATATAACAATATAAATAAAAAATAGATTTTTTATAATAATTTGATAAATAATTACCTTCTCCCATTACTTTAAACTTCCAATTCAGTAATTCGTTTTTCTAAAATGTGCAAAATAGTTTATTGTAATACGCCTAAGTAGAAGAGCGTATTTAATAACGAGGGTATTAGAATGGATCTTATTTTACAATTTTCAATTTTAATAGCCGCTAAGCAAATTTTTTTTCATTTCTATGTAAATAAATTACTTGCAAAATTTTTACTCTATTAAAACTCATTAAAACGTGGCACTACAAATTCAAGGTTTTTCATAAAATAAAATTTATTCTTATTGGGTTTTATATTCATTAAAAAATTTATTTGACAAACATTTTTATAGAACACTGTTTATTGTATTTGTTTTGTACGTGGCAGCTAGACCGTAGGACTAGTTGTGCACCGTACTAGATTGCCATTTTACCTTAACTTTGTTCAAATCGCTATTATTGAAGGGGCAATGGTTCACCTGTGGGATGACGGCTAACTGCACATTCAATAAGTAACGAGAGTAGACAATAATTAAACAACAAATAACCACATATATTAGAAATTCCTCAGAGAGTATCTTAAATTTAAGGGATAACGGGGGCCCTTAAATACTAGTGACCGGCGAAGCGGCATAAAACAAAATAGTTTATCTCAATTAAAACAAACAATAAATAGCATTAAAAAATAATATAAAACTCAGCTGTATATATGAAGTTTTTGATAGTGATGAATGATCTGTATGAGATCTTGTGTTAATGGAGTCGAACATCTGAGTATGACGAGTCAGAGTACAGATTCAGGTACGTAATGCAAATGAGAATAAACGGAAAAAAAGCGACTATGACAATGAAGATATTTAGTAATGGTCAGGGCTGAAACACTAGTGGCGTGCAAGGGCACGAGGATTTCGAGCACAAGGTTGCAATAAACAAATAAAAAATAACGGCCTACGAAGGCCGAACAATTTACCATTCAACGAAGGCACTTGCTACAAAAAGAAAAAGACACATAAAACAATTAACTGACTAACTTACGATAATGAACTGTACACAAATTACAATTGACACGGAGGTCATCGATTTGCCGTATTAGGTGGGCAAAGGGGCCAGTAAAGCAGGACGTTGGAGATCAGCTGTCACACGATATAATATAAACAACGATGTTTGTAATAACTGGTCTACTAGATCTTTACTAAAGGCATTCTATATCAAACAGTATTATTAATTTATAAAAAAGAGGTCTCTTTATACTTTTACATTTTCGGAATTTATTATATTTTATATTATTTGCTAAAGGTGAGACCTCGGGCTTTATTACTAATCATTTCCCTACCGTACAGTTCCTCTCTCCTATGTTTGAAAATAAATTAAGTATAAATTTAAATTAATATTGATTTTATTTTCTCCTCAAAGGTAAAAAAAAGCGACTTTGAATTTTAGATCTAGTTTAAATATTTCATTTTATCTGTATAAACACGTAGTGCAAGTGGACTGCGTCGTAAATAAAGCAGTGTTATACGTTAGGGGAACGAAGTTCGCACCCCGCAAGTCTATATAATTTTTTTTTTATTTCCTTTTTTGAGTTTAAAGTACAATACATGAATTAGAACTTATTAATGTAATAAAATACAATATGAAATTAATATATATATATATATATATATATATATATATATTAATTGTAATTTTTACGGAGAAATTATAAAATTGTTTTATACAGAGTTTTATGTTGGTTTTTTTTTTTAAATTCATATCTTATACCTTATAAGGTATCAGCTTTGTTATTTTAAACGACAACATAAATATTTAACTAGCTATTAAAATAAAAAATGTTCTAATTAAGAAAATAATTGGTTGATAAAAAATTTTAGCGACCATCGCACACCCACCGAACATTAATGCATATAAAATAATCACCAAAATGTAAAATTGAACATTTTATAAAATACTAGATTTTTTATAAATTCTTAATGTTTGGCGCTGTAGGTATTACACGGAACTCGCGTGAAGGTGAAATAAAATAAAAACACAACACTTTAGGGTTTAAAAGACGTCGTGCCGTTTATTAAGTGTTTCTAAAACTTAGTACTGTCTTAAACGAAAAATACTCCGGAAAAACACAGAATATGTAAATAACAGTAATTTATATATTCGGAAACAGATAAAATGTTCGTAGCTGCGTGTTTGGCGTTGTTGAGCAGACGATAAAAAAATACCTATTTTGATATCGGTGTCACGGAGATAACTGACTCCACGTATTATTGTGGCGGGTATTCGACCCTAGGCATTTATTGGCACCACGCGTCTGTGTAACGGTCCGGTTTACAGCGGAGCGGTGGCTAAGAAGTAGCTGACGCCACCCGGAGGTGTCAAACGGGTGACAACAACGTGTCCGTGTCATGCTGTTAATTTTTTCTGGGAAGGATTAAGAAACTTTATGCACAAGATCAAATAGCCTTTCTTTTTAGAAAATAGAAAATATAATAAAAATAATTCTATATCATTTTTGTCCGATTAAAGTTTGAACTAATTCAAGACAAAATATAAATAAATTTGTTTTTATGCCAACATTTTTGCATTAAACGTCACGAGTTCATCCAATTTAGTTTCAACTTTGCAGATATTTTATATAAATAAAATATGATACGGGGCTTTGAAAATTCAATAAAAAAAATTCGGCTTATAAAAATATTAACATCCTAGAGAATAAATTATGTCTTATTTACTTATATAAAAATGAATTATTGAATACACATTTTATAAAATCACAATCAATAAATGTATACTATCGCAGGAGGAGGACGGAAACGATAGAAGATCAACTAACTCAGATTATTATCTAAAAAGGTCGATTACTAGTATAATATCAATAAGCTAAGTCCTCCTTAACAATAATTTTCAGTAAAACATTTAAAACTAATTCTTAGGGTCGGATCAAGCTTTAAAAAATAAATTAAGAGCCAGGTTTTGTAAAAAGTTATTACGTCTAAATGTATAAGTCATAAAGTATAGTTCGGATACCGTCAAGTATATATTTATAATAATGAAATAAATAACACTCTCATGATTTATGATTACATAAGTTTCTGTTAGATTTGCAAGCTAATTCGGCAATATCAAAGCGCTACTTTATTTTATCAATATTATGTGTAACTATCATTGATAACGTTAATATAAGATGGTAATAAAATATATAATCCTATATTGCCGATAATTTACGCATTTTTTGAAGAAAAATTACTGGTTTTATTGCTAATACTACTATTGAAATTTTTTTATTTCAAATAATATGTGGACAAATAAAAGTAAAAAGAGGAATTGTACTTCATTGACTTTATATTATATAAGTGATATTTAGGAACTAAAAATGAGTAATATAATACTGTAATAATACATGGTCAGTTTCCAATTGAACAAAAAAATAAGAAAATATCTCAAAAATTTATTCGTTTCTAAGATAGTTGCTCTATTTAAAGTCTATGTCCTTTCAAAATTAGAATTTCCAAAACGGCGATTTAATACAGCTAGGCATATTGTTGAAAAATGACGAAAAATTAAAAAAAAAAAAAAAAAAA